AAATCACAGTGTATGGGGGTGGAACTGTAAGGCAGCTTCAGACTAATTACCTGCATGGAGCCAGAAGCAGGTGCATTGGAATTCTGGGTCTACCCCTACTAGATGTATGAATATGGGTGATGTGCTCACCTCACTAAGCCTGTTTCCTCATCTGTGAAAGAGAGTTAGAACTCTGATGTGCTTGTTACTAGGATTTAATGAGATAAGTCCTCTAAGGCCCTCAGCAAAGGGTCTGGCTCACAAGCAATAGTGACACTGGTCAAAGTTATTGCCTCAGGGAGTTTAGAAAGCCCTTGGCTGAGGAGTGAGGCTCTTTGCTGTCCTCTGGTGGTGAGATGTAGAGTGGCTGCCTGTGGAGGAAGCTGGAAGAGTACTTTGAAAGCAAGAAAATTACTTCTGGGTTTTATTGCTTTCTGATGACTTCCAAGAATATCCATTCAACTTAAAGCAGGAGGAGAGGGAAAAACCCTAGTGGCTCTTAAAGCAATATGATGTCTTTCTTGTGTGAGAAGGTGGTCAAGAGAGGCTTTGGTGGGCTTCCTTGCCAGGTAGGTTGCTGGTAGGACTGGACAGAGATGGTGATCAGGGAGATGGGGCTGGGGCTGGGGCTGGGGCTGGGGCTGGGGCTGGGGCTGCTTTCCCTGGAAGTTCACCTTGGTCACAGCTGATGTTCCTGGGCTTTCTCTGAATCTCCCCAGTGTTCTCAGCTTTTCTGGCCACAGCAGTCTGTGCCTTTGACGGCCTGTCTCATTACTGTCTCGTGGCACGGACCAGTCAGAGCAGGGACAGAAGCAGCAGTTTGTGTGTCACTTGATAAAACTTGGGATTTGCTCTGAGGCCTCTCAGGTCTCACAGAGGTCTTGGTCAGGGGTCTCTTCCTCTGAGCCTGGGAGAAAGAGCCTGCTGTGTTCTAGCGCAGTGCTTAGAACAATAGGTAATTTCACGCAGTGGCTTTGCCTGCGTGTAGACTGTGAATTTCTGCCCCTGAGGATAAGGGACCATAGCTGGCCAAACCTCTGTTCCCCATGGCGCTCAGCAAAGAACTTTGCGCTTAGCTGTAGCTCAGTGAATATAACGAAAGCATATTCTCCAGGAGCACCTGAAGACCTTGATATTAATAAATTAATCAGCTGTGTTTGAGTACAGTAGTTGTCCTTTATCTGTGTTTTCACTTTCTATAGCTTCAGGTACTGTGGCCAGTCTCAGTCCAGAAATATTAAATGGAAAGTTCCAGAAATAAAGAATAGGTAAGTTTTAGATGGTAGGCTTTTTCAGTAATGTGGTAAAATCTCACAGCCTCGCTCCTCAGTCCATCGGGGACTTTCATCATCGCTGTGTCCAGTGGATCCATGCTGTGTCTGCCACCCTGCTGCTAGCAGTAGCTATCCCATTTATTACACTGACTGTCAGGGTCGCTGCTTCTGGTCTTGTGGCCCTTATTTTACTTAGTAGTGGCCCCAAAGCACAAGATTAGTGATGCTGGCAATTAGCACAGTGGACCCTTGACTTACAAACTTGATCGGTTCCCGAGGGCTGGTTGTAACTAATTCACTACAGCTGAGATCTGGATGTTTACCTGGGTACACGCCATAGATAACAACAGGGAGATGAATCTTCCATTAACTTAATTAACCCAACTTGTTCGTAGGTCAGGCCAGTCCTAACTTGAGGGTACACTATATATACCAAAGAGAATCCATAAAGTGCTTCATTTAAGTGAGAAGATGATTGGATTTAGTAAGGAAAGGAAAAATGGTATGCTGAGATTGCTGAGCTCTATGGTAAATTGTTATTGGTTTACTACTGTGCCTAGTTTATAAGTTAAACTTTATCAGGAATGTATGTATAGGAAAATCATGTTATAGATAGGATTTGGCACTATCCATGGCTTCAGGCACCAGGAGTTACGGAATATATTCTCCTCAGATAAGGGGGACCACTGTACCTCAGAAGTAACATCATAGGTTCGGGGAGGTTTTTATGAAGAAGGACAAGATGGAGACTGTGGCCTCTAAGAACACATCTTGTTAGATGTCCAAGTTAAAATAAGTTTGTTAAGTTAAAGCATAGTGCAAGTCATGTAATTATTCAGGGCCAAGTGAGTCATGCAGGTGGGCCCTAGCATTGATCCTGGAAACAGGCCATCGTGCTGGGCCGGCAACAGATGAGGGGCACAGGACCTGTCTGGACAAGGCCCTAGGCTTGGCTTAATGCCCTGCTGTGGCCATCTCAAAATTCTTAATTGTCCTTTCTTTCTGGTTTAAATTTTGAAAATTAGCCCATAATTGTAACATAATGGTGTGGTGCAGTGGAATATTTCAATATATGTATGTAATGTGTAGTCATCAAATAAATCAGGATAATTGGCATATCCATTACCTCAAACACTTACAATTTCTTTGTGTTGGAAACATGCAAAATCCTCTCTTCTAGCTATTTGAAATGTGTAACAAATTATTCTTATCTATAGATTTATAGTGTTTGAAGAGGGACCATGCATCTTTTCTTTTTTTTCTTTCTTTTTTTTTTCAGTTTGTTTTGAGACAGGGTCTTGCTATGTAATTCAGAATGGTCTCAAACTCACAGTGATCCTCTTGCTTCAGCCTCCCGAGTGCTGGGATTACAGGTGTGTGCCACCATGCCTGACCCTATGCATCTTTTCTTTTGGACCAGCCCTTGCAAATTATGTAGCCAGTCCTGACCTTCGTTCTGTGTGACCAGGAGAAGCTCTTTGCTAGTGGTGGGGTCTGGACCTTGGCGGATGAGGTGGGAAAGATGAGCTGCAGAGCTATACTGAGCTTGAGGTTGTGGCTGTCCTAGTATCCAGCATGGTACAGCACCAAGTGCCTGCTCAGGTTGTGCTATGGAGTGTCAGAGACTGGACACATGCATCCTAACTGGAGCCCTCTTGAAAAGAAGTGGGGCTCCCAGGTGATGCTGCCCATGGACTGGGCTGCTCTGTGAGCAGAGGAGCCTGTGAGAGCCATAACCACAGGACCTGCTTGGAAAGGCTGCCTCGATTGGGCACTGGGACCACGTTTCTTTCTGGAATGTGCTAGGTGGACACTTCACAGGCCTGCTGGGATGATCAGAGGAGAAGAACCCCAGGAAATGTCTCTGTAATCACAGAAAAGGGGCTTCCTTACTGAGCTCAGAATATCCCTGGCATCAGGGGGTCCTCATGTGGGGTTTGGTGAAGTCTGGGCATTCAGAGCCCATTCTCAGTGGTCTGAGGAGCAGCAGTCTGTTGGAGGAAAGGGTCTAGGGCCTCCAGGGAAGCAGCACACTTAGCAAATTTCTACTCCCTGTGCGCATTGACAGACTGGGCTTAGATTCCAGGCTTCCTCTACTTACCCACACTAAGAGGTTCGCTTATGTGGGTATCTGCAGTGCAGCACAGTGCCAGGGTGGTGGGTGGCCCCTGTCAGAGGTGCTGGTACTCTGGGGACTTGAGGAGTCAGAGAAGGGAGGCACCATCTGGGCTAGCAGGGCTAGGCCAGAGTATGCCAGCACTAAAAATACAGACAAGCAGGGAGCACCCAGCAAGGGCAGAGAGGGCGGAGAGGGTTGTATGTTTAGAGTGAGCACAACAGTGGAGGGGAGGCTGGAGACCGTAAAGAGCACAAGCATCCTGTGCACCTGCTGTCTTGCCAGCAAAAGAAGGGGCCTTTGAGCTGCACACACTGCAGTCCCCGTTACTCAGGAGGCTGAGACAGGATGATCACAAATTCAAGGCCAGCCTGGGCAACTCAGTGAGACCTTATCTCTAAATAAAATTTAAAAGGGCTGGGGATCGTAGCTCAGCACGCCCTGGGTTCCATTCTCAGTGCCACAGGACAGAAAAAGCAAAAGGTCTGGGGGAGAAGGGGCTTTTGCATTGGAGGTGGCAGGCAGAGATTTTATGCAGATCCCTGCTACCTGGTCCTATCTGGGACTCAAGCAGGGTTCAGGGCTTCCAGGAGGAGGGGCCTGGCTCTCTGTCCCCTGCCCGGGTATGTGTCATCCTGCCAGCATTCTCCTGCTCTGCTCCCCTGGCCCCCTCTTCTTTCTCTGGAGTGAAGGGAAAGGCTGCAAACTCTAGCCCAGTGTGGTCTCAGGGCCCCCCGCCTCCCCCGAACCTCTCGGAAGAAGGGCTGTGCAAGCCCAGCTGCTGGAGAGAAGGGTCCTCTGTGACACTGGGCAAGTTTCTTAACCTCTCTGGCCCTCAGTTTCCTTAGAAATGAATGTGGTATAACTTGGAGTTGCCAGGACAAAAGAGAGTATGACAGAAAGGGCTTGTGGGAGCACCCTGATAGGACCGGGCACTTGCTGTGTGAGCAGTCAGGAAACACGCTGCAGAGGAGAAGGGGATGCAGGTGAGCAGCTCCTGGCTCCAGGCCTAGAGACAGGGGGCCTTGAGCTGCCCTGTTGGGGGTGGGGGACAGAGTCCAGTTTCAGGGCCTGGCTGACTTCGATACAGGTGGGACACAGGGAGATGGGTAGTTTATGCAGAGTGCAGAGGGGCCTCGTCTTGTGACGATTAAAATAGCTCTCATTCCCTAGATGCTCACCATGTCCTGGTGTCCTCGGTGCTTTACGAGTTCTATGAGTCCCCAGAAGTGTATTAGGTGTGCAGTGTTGTCATGTCCATCCTGCAGAAGTGGAAACAGAGCCTCAGCACCCCCAGAAGGCTGGCTCCAGAGTCTCACAACCTCGCACTGGGTACTTCCGGCCTCTCCCTGAACCCCATGGGACCCTATCTATGTGACCCTCCAGTCCTGTGTGCCTCCACCTGCCTCCTCTGACCAATCTGCCACATGTGTGGGAAGCATTAATCTCCAGGCCTGCCTTCCTGTCATCTGGGTGGGACAACAGCCCCACATATTCCGCAGAGGTGACAGTGTCTACAGATTTGGGGAACACCTCTTTCCTGCTAATACATTTGTCTCTGTTTATTCAGAATGTGGTAAATATTGTACTGACATCTAAGCTGAATTGAAAACAAAGTCAGGAGTCTAGAATGTTGGTACATTTCAAATATATTTTATTACTTTTCTTTTCGTCTTAGAAAGAGTATGAAAGCTGCATGCAACGCTAATGATCTCTGACATTTACATAGCATATAACACAGCAGGATGGTGTGGCCTCTACTGAAGGGCAGCCTATGGGGGGCACTCTGCAGAAGATATGTACAAAGGAAAAGGTGCTCGGGCATCCCAGCTTCCAAACCAGGACATACTGGTCCTGGTGAGCTGCATGGGGAGCCACTAATGTACTGCTGCTTTAGTTCTGCAAGTTCCACTGTGTGGAGGGAGAGAAACACACTTCGAAGGTTTTCCCTTGTCAATAGATTGTGTGTCTCTGGTTGCGTGTTGTGCACATATTGTAAAATGTTTGTTAAAGGGCCGGGGATTTAGCTCAGTGGTTTCGCCGTCTGCTGCTCAAGCTCAAGAACCTGAGTTCGATCCCTGGTACCAAAAAAAAAAAATGTTTGTTAAGGTTTTCGCTAACAATGGTAGGAACTTCACGTGCTTCTGAAGCATTACAAAGTGAAGCAGCAAACCTGTCAGAAACCCTCAGGTTGGAAAAAAGATCCAACACCTCCTTTAAGGGTCACTTGCCTTGCCCCCACAGGATCTTGGAAATGTTTCCTAGACTGAAAAAAATGAACTGGAGGGATGAAGCACATTTCTCTGGCAACTAAATTGAGTTCCTCTAAGCACAGATGCAGAGAGACCTGCTCCCGCTTGCCCGGCGACAGGGGCCACTGCGGAGTCAGTCACACTGCGGCTGTGATGGACCTAAGCCCAGGAGAGCCTGGCAGCTGTGCAGAAGGCGCCAGGCCCTCTGGGCGGAAGCTTCCCCAGCTAGGGCTGGAGCAGCACTACAATGAAATGTCTCAACCAAGCTCATTGTTCCTCCCGGGCGCTTATAAAGCTCAGATGTGTAGCGATGTATGGACAAATACAAAAAAGCATTTTTTAAAAAGGAAAGGCATGAGTTTCCCCCCATTTCAGCAAAAAAGCCGCCTGTGTTGATGTCTGGAGCGCAGGAGAGCTGGGTCTCACATCTGGAAGCCTTTCGCACACAGCTATAAAATGTAAAAACTGACCCTGGGTAAAAAGTGCTTCATAACAATATATAATTTGTGTCTTATGCCTGTGAGAAAGAAAGGTTTTTTTATTTAACCAGCAAAGTCCTTTGCTCAAGTCTTGCAACTGGTCTGGAGTTTCCTGTCAGAGATTTTTCACCCTATTCTTCGTAGACCCTGGGAAGAGAAAACACAGGTGTTAGTGGCTCAGGACCTGATGCAGGCTGCTCATAGCTGCTGCCGAGTGGCTTCATTTGGTCCTGTGGGGTGCACCGACTTTGGCTGGGGGTGTGGGAGTGGCATCTCTGGGGACATGATTGTGATCACAAGGGCCACAAAAGCTCACATGTCTGGATTTGCCCTTTCTAATCAGCTTTCCCTCTACAGTCCCATTTTATATCCTCAAGGACCTGTGGCAAGAACCCTCTTGTGTGTGGGGGAACTGAGGCCCAAGACCTAAGATGTGCTTAGTGACCATGGATGGTCGGCGGCGAAGGAGCCAAGACCTCTCTAGCACCTCCTCCTTCCATTCATCTGTACAGAGTCCCTCTCTTAGAGAAAATAGCCACGGGGTGGTTATGCGCTCTCTAGACTTCGGCTTGTCCTCCTGAGAAACGCCAGTTCCAGAAGCCCGAGGGCTGAGGAGAGGTCAGCAGCCTGGGACTCTGCCAAAGGGGCCCGTCCGTGCCCCTGAGCACTTCCTCTCTCGATGTTGCCTCACCCTACTAGTTAGGCATCCATGAGTCACCTTTCCCCTCACTCCCAAGGTGGCTCCACTTAGGTTTTTATATTTCTTCCAGCTCTGTCCCGTGGCTGCTCCAGCTCCATACTTGACACTCTGACAGTCCATCATTCCCTCTGCCTTGCTCTTGATTTCTGAGACCACCAAATTACATGTTGAAGTAGAAAGCCTGATGTGGCTGTTTCCTGTGGCAGCCAGAAGCTCTGGTCTCTGAGATGCTAGGAACTCCTTTGTCTGGCCTCACAGGCCTCACCCTGCCTATTTCTTTCTTTCCTCTTCTTCCCTCTTCTTCCTTCTTCTTTCCTCTTCCCTCCTCTCCCCCCCCACCCCATTTCTGGCCCACCAGGACTTCAAACAGTTCCTTTATCTCCATTCCACATTCATTGGGACATTTTTATCTCTTTTCGGGGGAGGAGTAGAGAAAGCACGGGCACGCCCTTTCCTTCCTCTCTTCACACCTCAGCACCCGAGAGGGGAGGATGAACCCAGGACCAATGAGGGGAGGGCAGGTCTGGTGACAGAGAGGTTCTCAGTGTGCTCATCTGTGCACTTTGCAGAAGTGGAAAAGCAGGGCTGCAGTGAGACTCACAGGCGCCTCCTTGCCTTCAGAGCCACAACCCAGGTGCAGAGTGAGGGGCAAGGTGGGCCAAGGTGTGAGTGCCTCCCAGGGGCTGAAGCGAGATGTTCTCAACCCATTAGCTGGCTCTGGGTTACCTCATTCCACTCTCGATGACGCAGGGCTTAGAGGGTGGCAGAGAGCAGAAAGGGCAGGTCCTGCTGTTGTTGTGTGAGCTGCGTGTTCTGGGCAGAAGGAGGGCGCCATTCCCATCAGATATATAGAAAATAGTCTCACCCTCATCACTTCCATTTCAGGCAACTGCAAACAAGGCAGTTTTGGAGGCAGCAAAAACAGGCTCAGGTGCAAGAGCTGTAGGAAATCTGGTCACAGGGCTGGGCCTGAGGGGGTGGCGCCTGGCCAGGTGGTGGGAAGGGGAGCCCAGTTACCCACTGTGGCTGATCCTCTCGCCTGGGGGCCTGGCTTTCTGCCCTGGCTTTGTCCTGTGCTCCCAGAGAAGTTAGTCTACTCCCAGTCCCACCTTGGTTTCCCCCTTGTGTATGATGAGGTGCTGGCCCTGGGAAAGGTGACAGTGGGCCCTGCAGGTTGAAGGAGTGGGCCATTGCTAGGGCAGCTCACCTTTACATGGTACAGGCACCTGAGAAGTGGCCCCCTTCCAAGTGTGGACCTAGACCCCAGGGCTCAGAGCTAGGACTTTCTGACTATGGGAAAACAGAGCCCAAGGGAAGCTGGGGTTTGATCCAGGGCACCGGTGCTCTCATCTCTGCTTCCCCATTGAGTAAGAGTGTGCTGGTTTAAAGGTTCAGACCCAATGTCCCTTCTAGCACCTGCACAGGAAGGAATTTATCCACTCTCTGAGCATCATGGGGCATCCTGGGGAGAATAGTCGGCAGAGTTACCCACATCATCTCCTGGGTGCACTCACAGTTTTGTTTTGTTTTGGTACTGGGGATCGAACTCGGGAACTTGTGCTTGTGCAGCAGGTGCTGGAACCCCTGAGCTAAATCCCTGGCCCTACACTCACAGTTTTGTGGTTAACAAAGTCAATAAGCGGCCACATTTCACCCTACAAGATCCACAAGGGACAGCCAGGCCAGGGGTTTGCCCAGCCACTTGACAGCTTATGTGACTTTAAAAAACAGCAATTAAGACTATAATATGAAAGTTATAACGAAACAGACTTTAGGTCACAAAGAGATAAATCTTTACTATGTATATCTGTCCAAGAGAGCAGCAGCCTGCTTCATGAAGTGGTGAGCTCCCTGTTCCTGGGGGTATGCAGGCAGTGCCTGTGGAGATTGCGGTGGGCATTCACATATTGAATGGGGTTAGGCGACCTGATGTGGAGGACCCTTCTCCTCCTAAGAGCTGCAGTCTGCTCTGGAGGAAGGGTGGGAGGCCGAGAGGAGGTATGCATACCTGCGCTTCTCGTTCCAGGCATTGTACCACTTGATGAAGCGCTTGGTACTCTGCAGCTTGGGGTGCAGGCAGTGTTCCTGGCCACGGTACCTGGACATACTCTTGGTGGTGATGCTGAAATGGAGAGGGGGCGTTCAGGGTTGAGATGTGGAACAATAGCCCTCATGTGGCCTCCTCCTTCCCTCAAAGGCTCCCTCCCTGGTGAGCTTTGTGGTGTCTGTTGTCCCCTCCATCTCTGACTCCATATTAAGGCCTAACCCTGTATGGAGAGAGTGGCCTCCCTTTCCCCCTGGAGCAGTTGGGGTCTGCCTACTGCACACCCAGCAGTGTGTTGTTTCCAGGGCTTAGGGCTCACTTGGGGAATGTAGGTCTGGGGATTCTCCTAGGGATCTGGAGGCGTACGCGCCAAGGCCTCTGCCCTTGGATTTCAGAAGCTCCACCATGGGGGTAAGACATGTCTGGTCCTGCAGACACTGACCCCTCACCCCCAGGTCCCCCCACCTGCCGCAGATTGTCCCAGGGTTGGGCATTTGCTGATCCTGAAGCAAACTCTTGGCCTTGAAGCCCATTTTGATGCTTGAGTGTGAAGTCCAAGTTATCTTACCTTTGGGCAGAGAAATAAAACCTCCCTTCTCCGTAGCTCAAAGGTCTCAGGTATCTCTCAGCCTGTTCTGATACTGGGTGGATTCCTAGCCATACAGTAGGTAAGCATGAGGACCTTGTACAGAGTGCAGGGGCTTGGGTTTGAACCGCATATTTGGCTGGTCCCTTGGATAGCCTCTCTGAATCTGTCTCCCCATCTGTAAAATGGGTATAATGATAAAACCTACCTCATAGGGTTATTGGGATGATGAAAGAATGTAATATGTGCAGAGTATATGATACCTGGGAGAGGCCCAGGGAATGGTTACTGTTATTAGTAATTGACCAAGGGGGCTGAGACAGCCAAGGGGAAAGATAAGCCTTAGTGTGTGAGCATTCTAGCCTGGAGGGAAGGTGAGCTAGTGCTGGCCAGAAGGATGGCAGGAGTTAGGCGGAAGGATGGTATTCAAGAATGGGGGATCACCCTGCACAGGTGGAAAGTGCCAAGTTAGAGGTGAGGATGCCATCTTCTGAGGTTCATAGAAGAGTAGGTGGAGGTGAGAGGGGAAAGTGGGAAGTGAGGCAGAGGTGGCTAGTTCCCACAGGCTACCAAAGATGAAGTGTCAGGGCTCATGGGTCAGGTTCTAGAAGGGGGCAGGGTTGCCATGAACACAGCCTCCCAGTCAACAAGGAGATGAAATGGGATCTTGCCACCAGAAGAGACCTGGGAAAGGAAAGGGTCTTCTGATAATGCAAGGTGACTGGGCCCTGCCTTCCCTGGAGTTCTCCCAGAGAGATATGTGGCTCTTTCTGGGCTTGAGTGTGGAGCCAGCTTCAGAGTGAAATGAAGCTCACCTGCCCCCACCCGCCCCCCGTACCTAGTCACCCTCAGGAACCCAGCACATGGACTTTCCTCTAGACCTGCAATGCTGCTTATGCACTTCGAGTGAAATGACATGGCAAAGCCTGATAAAAGTCCCCTTTTCAGGTCAATGTGCAGGTTGAGCATCCCAAGTCCTGAAGGTCAGGAAGAGCAGGAAAGCACACTTAGCCCTCCAACCCTGGTGCTCACATCCTGCATCACAATACTGGGATTATGAAGATCAGTTGTGGATTGCAGACAGGAAGATTCAGGATCTCAGCAACTATCAGAAATTCTGGATCTGATGTCCCTCTCTCTCAGCCGTTCTGGGATGTTGAGGGTTTTTGAGGCAAAGCTCAGGGACGTAAGACATAACCGGCCTGCCCTTTCTAGAATTTGGACTCTTGTGGCCCCTTCTGGGTGCAAGGGCTCCTACTTGTGAAGATACGCTGCTGCCCGCCCACCCCACCCCAGCCACAGACTGGAGATGTCTGGGTGACTCAGGGTGAACTAGAAAACTTGCTTTTGTTCAGCTTTTGTGGCTGAAAACCTGCTTTGGCAAAAAATGCTAGCCTCTTGTCTGATCTAGAAAGTCTGAGGAATACAAGAAGGGAGAGGAGCCTCCGCTCTTAGGGGGTGGGATGGGGGTGGGGGGCTCCAAGAGTCAGGGAGGGTAGGAGAGGGTGGCTGGGTACTGATCTCAAGAGGCCCCTGCACGTTGTCGTTGTCACAAGGCTGCATACAGCCTTCTCATGCACTTGTTTGGCTACTGTTTCCCTCTATATGCAGAGATGTTTAGCCAGGAAAAAGAGTTAAGTCTGTCTGGTGAGGGATTCTGTCCTTTTGAGATGCCACTGCACCCCATACCCTGCTTTTGTTCCCTACATGGTCTCAGAAACAAATTTCCATGTTCCCTGCTGTTTTAAATCCCCAAGCTGGAAGTGCTGAGGGGCTTATGGCCCCTCCTCTACCTCTTTTGACTCCCAGCCCCCACCTAAAAGGATTTTAGGGCAATTTGTATGGACTTGGTCAGCAAAGCAAGGGACAAAGATAAGGGGTTAATTAAAATGCCTATGCAGGATGGTGTTAGGGTCAGCTTGGGTCTGGAGGCTTTTTCCCCTCACTTCAGCCTGCAGCCCCAGGTGGTAGCGGGGTGTGGGCAGTACCCTGCCTTTGTAGACTCTGTGAAGGCCTTTGGGCAGCAGGGCCAGCCGGGGGAAGGCACTTGCCCAGACTGAGAATAAAGTGTGTCCTGTTTCTGGGGGAGGGGAAGAGGGGCCAATGGTCCATGGCAAATATTTGGGAGCTGCTTTGCCAAGGGCTCGTGTCCTGGCCGAGAGCGTATTGGTGGGGAAACAGTGGTGCTGGCCTCAAGTGGTTAATTGGGAAGGCAGAGCAGCAAGGAAACTCAGTGTTCTCTCCCTCTGCCCCAGTTTTTAAATCATCACCGCATCCCCACCGGCAGGGCTAAGGTCTCATGGCACGTTAACCCCAGGAGAGGACTTCCTGCAAGACTGCAGGGGCTCAGGACCCACAAGGAGTCCAGCTGCTGAAGGAAGAGCTTGGAGTTCTCACAGTGAAATCCCTAAAAGCCAAACAAAACAAAACAAAACAACCCCTCAAAATCAACCAACCAACCAAACAAAAAACCCCTGGCCATCCTGGTGGACTGTCCCGGGTTAAACAAAGGCTCTGAAAGGAAAGTTGACCGTAAAGTTTGCATTATTCCTCTCTCTGGTGCAGGAAGGCAGCACACCCCACAGTTTGGAGGTCAGTGTATTCTGAATGATTCCAATCGAGGGGTTCCAGCCATTGATCCCTGATTGCCCTAGCACCCTGGGCAGCCTGGTGCACACACTGAGGCTGACAATTGAGTCCCGGCCACAGTGGACTCAGATGCTGTTCCTGGAGCCCAGGACAGTGACCCCCTTTCATGACTGTCCAACCAGCGTCCTAAGGACTTGCTGGGCCATGACAAAACTTTGCCAAGGACTTGATAAAGGTAGAAAGAAATGTTTGCCAGCCTGACCCAAACCCAGGGTGCCCTCAGGATGGGACACCCTGGCGGTGAGGAGCAAGGACTCACATAACCATCTTCTCCTCGCAGTGCGGGTACTTTGGCTTCATTTCTAGCTTCTTCACGTCACTGTAGCGGATCTTAGGGCCCTTCCGAGAGCACTTGCATTTGGACCCTGTGGGAGAGGGCACGAGAGCTGCTCAGATGGCCGGGGTGTCCTGCTCCACGTCCGTCTTCAGAGCCCACCCAGACTCCCCTGGATCCCAGGATGGCTAAGAGCTAGTGTTTGGGTTCTCCGGGATGGGATCAGACGCTGACAAAGGGACCTCCCCGGACTCACCCTCCACGCGCGCGGCGCACAGGGCCAGGAGCAGCAGGAACAGCGCGGCAGCCAGGAGCCTCATGCTGGCCAGAGGGGTGCAGCCCAGGAACAGAGACACCGGGACCGTGCCGCGGACGGGGACTGGTCGGTGTGGCGCCCGAGACGCCGCCCGGGTCGGATCTGAGAGCTCAGAGCGCGCCTCCGGCCCCGGCTCGCTCGGGCAGCGCCCGTCGGTGGGTGTCCGGTGCTGCTGTCTGGCGCTGTGAGCAGCGCTTTGCGCTCTGCTCTGTGATCACTCCACAACTTCCCTCCGCCTGCCCTGGCCTCTTTTAAATCCGCTCCAGCCCTCGCAGCGAGCAAGCTCATTAATATGCAGAACCACTCGGTGACTCACTGAGATTTCTCAATGTGGTGGGGGGAGGAGACCTTCCCAGCCCGCCTGCCACCCGCCCTGGGACTGAATCGCGATCGCAGTGGCTCACATTTGGAGCCACGCGCGCACCCGCACATTCATGCACACGTGCTACCCTCTCGCGCGCATAACTGGCTCTCCAGTACACACTTGCACACCCAGCCCACAGCCCGCACACACTTCCAGGACAGCTGTTCTGCCTTGGGGAGGCTGCTGAGGGGCATTGCTGTTGTGATGCTGGTAGATCCCACTCTGGTCAGACAGGCCTGTTGTTCTTAGGCCCCAGGGAAATTCAGGCAGGGGCCCAGATGCTTGGGGAAGACCTGAAAGAATTGTGGAGCAAGTGCCAAGTGTGAGTGCCAGCAGACTTGACCCTAGGCCTGCCTGTAGGGCTAGCAGCCCTGGTGGCCAGAGCGTGGGTCTGGGGATCTGGACAGGCATTTGCCATAGGCTGTACAGCAGTAAGGCCATTGCCTACAGTCACTGAACCAATGGGGGTGCTCCTAGAGAAGCCTCTCTAATGTGGGTCTGTGGCCTGGTGGCTGTGTGACCTTCTGAGAGGTGGGAGAACCTGGGCGCTCCTCACTTTCAGGCTATTCTCCAAAGCCAAGCAGTGGCCCACGAGGGAGCCATGACAATGGTAACCATCTAGATACAGGCCCTCCCTTGTTCAGAGATTGTGTGAGGCTGCAGAGTATAGTGGTGTGAGACCAGCCATGAGGGCATTCCCACCCCGTTACTTACCAGTACAAGTGACTTCATCACTTGAAGATGTCTTTTCCTTGTCTGTGAAGTGTAGGTAGTCACAGTGCCTGTCGTAGGGTGGCTGTGAGAAGTACATGTTCTCACACATACAAAGTGCTGTAGTTAATGAGGTGCCTGAGGCATAGTGCTCAGGAAATATTACTTACTGGCTTCATTAGTACATATATTTTATATATATGAGCATTAGAATGCCACTTCCAAGTTGGCACTTTTAATTTCTCTCTTTAGCAGGTGCAGAAGCAAGCTTAGAGAGAAGCAACAACTTGCCCAAGGTCATAGAGGTTGGAAGCAGGTGACTAGGCCAAGAGGGTCCCTGTATATGTGGCTCCAGAACTGGGACTCCTGCTCTTGGTCCAGTCTGTGGCCTTCATGCCTGCTGGGCTTTCACTTGGTGGTGAAGAGATTTTGAGAGAGACCCAGAGACAGCTGGCGGAGCAACTCAGGCTTGCAGGGGGCTGGCTTTGGTTTCCAGGCCAGAACTTGCCCAGTTCTGTGCTGTCAGCCTGGCAGCTCTCTGGGAGGGCTTCTGGGGAGAATGGAGGACAGTTTGCTAAGTACCAACTTTGAAGATCTCTGCTGTCTCCTCCCAGCAGGAGCACATTTGCTGCCGAAGGCAGGGGAAGCTGAGCTCTGAAGACCAAGCAGAGCCCATGCCCATGGTTGTGTTTGTTCTTGAAGCCAGGCTGGCAGCTGGATGTTTGCATTTAGCAGAAGATGAGTGTAAAGCAATGATTTTTAGGCATTTATGTAAATTTTCAAACTAAAAGTTGATTTTTCTTAATACTAACTAGCATATTTGTTACATAAATATAAGAAAACACAAGCAGAAAAAACCTAAAAAATGCAAATAATTTCACCCACTCAGAGGTCTAAACCAAGATGATAGCAGTTGTAGCCTTCCAAACCCTTCTTTCTTGAGAGGACAAGGCTGCATGGGTTGTTTATTAACCTGCTTATTATACCTACCAGTATATTGCAGACATTCCTCAGGTGGCTAGTCTTGCTTCTACCATTTCTCTTTTAATGGCATCTTTTGCAGCCATGTAGTATAAAGGCTAAGAGGATGGTGTCTGGACACATACTGCCTAGGTGTGAATCTTAGCTATTAGTGGTGTGACTTTGGGCAAATAATTCTTTTCAGTCTTTATTTTTTCATCTGTGAGATGGGTGTGATTAATGGTACCTCAGGCATAGGGGGAATTAAATGAGATGGTGCATGTCAAGCTTTTTAATGTGGTTTCTAGAATAGAGTAAGTGCTCAGTCAGTGCTGACTATGGTTATGATGATTTCAGATACAGAGAGGATCCCATTGTACAGATTGCCATAATTCACTCATTACTGCCTGCTGGACATTTGGATTATTTTCAACCATACACTCTTATAAACAGTGATGTGGGACAAATATTCTTATGGCTTGGTTTGAGGGTAGCTTCTTAAAAATTGGGTATGATCTTAGAATCCCTAGGCCATTGGATATGCCTGTTTTAAGGCATTTAATGCAAATCACTAAACTGTCCCCCAAAAGGAATTTCTTAACCACTATGCTTTCCCAGAGCATGTGAAATATTTTTATGAATGAAATTTTATTTTTAACATATTTGTTTCAATAGTACGTGGATTAATTAAGTGGGATCAAAGAAGACCAGGGAACATGGGTACTGAGTGTTTGTTTGAAATAGTAGGCCCTAAAAATAGGGACCAAAGTTCCCTGTTGGCTGGGCTAGACCGCAGGTTAGAGATGCCAGTTTTAATCCTCAGTCTATGTGTGCTGATCTCTGCTTTACAAAACACAGATAGATGTTGTATCTTGGCTGACTCTGCCCCTGTTCATGTGAGCTCTTCTGAAGGCAGCAGTAGAGGAAAGATGGGGTTCCCCACTGCTAGCAGGTCTCTAGGTGAGGCTGCCTAACTGGGCAAGGGAGGGTGCTTGCTCTTGTCATGCCCTCAGGGTGCAGACTCCACTGAGCCCAAGCTGGGGGGCTGGAGTGGGTGTGCAGGCAGGGTTAGCTGGGGATGGGAAAGCAGTTCTTTGCACGCCAGCACTGCCTGCTTCGAAGAGGTCTCCAGGGTACAGTGAAGGACAAGACGTATAGTCACTTCCTGGAGGGCAGCCTGCTGAGTGTGTGTGCATGCAGGTGCCCACAGCCTAACATAGGTGTGGGGCACAAGGGAAGGAGGACTTTCTTTTTTTTTTTTTTTTGGTACCAGGGATCAAACTCAGGTCTTTGCGCCTGCACAGCAGGCGGTGAAACCACTGAGCTAAATCCCCGGCCCAAGGAGGACCCTTTCAACAGGGGAAAATGGCCTGAGCCACTGGGCATTTGCTTATCTATTCTGGCCATACTCAGTGAGCACCTGCTGAATGCCAGGTGCTTTGCAAGGTGCTGGGAAATTAAGGTAGGCAGAGGCAGGTGTGTGCCTGTTCTCAGAGTAGTGAAATTGACATCAACCCACAACTGCAGGGGTAAATGTGGAAGTCCCACAGAGGTAAGTGTGATGGAGGAAGCTGGTTCTATGAGGCTCATCAGAGGATTTGGCAGGACAGACTGGAGACAGCTTCCTGGAGGGAGTGACCACCGAGTTGACTATAAAAGGTGAGGAGTTAACTGGGTGGCCATATGGCAGGGAGGCCACTCCTGCTCTTTACAGCCCCTGCTGCTCATTCAATGACCTCTTGCAGGGCCTCCCCTATTTAGGCCCTTTCTTGGCTCCTAATCTCAGGCGGAGTCCAAGGCAAATTCCCAGCAGTGCCTACCCCTGGCCAGTACCTGTCCTCTTCCTCACTGGCTGTGCTCAGCCACACTGCCTTCTCTGACCACTCAGACACACAGACTGTCCCCATCTCAGGATCTCTTGCTTCCTAGTCCCTCTGCCGGCACCGCTCTGCCCGATGTCCACAGGAAGCCCTCTTCTTTCTGACCCTCAGTACCTGTATCCACTTTTCAGACCATGAATCCTAACTGCCCTCAACAGCTGTCACACCCCAAACTGGGATTAAACCCAGGGCCTTGTGCATACCAGGCACGAACTCACCTCTGAACTAAATTGCCAGTCCTTTTTATTTATTTTTAAATTTTGACACAGGATCTCGTTAAGCTGCCCAGGCTGGCCTTGAACTTGTAATCTTACTGCCACTATGCCTGGCAACAATCACTCTCGATGCCTATTTCACTTTATTCATTTCACATACAACCACCTCAGATTGTGCTTGCTGCTTTCACATTATTTGGGGGTGCATCATGGGGGATCCTGTGCTCTGCAGGGTCCTCATCCCCAGTGCCTACAGCCATGCTTTTCCCTATCGGTTGGATAAATAGGGGATGTTTCAGGCAAAAACCCAGTCGTGTGAAAGGACAGTGCTGAACCAGGCAACCCAGACTGTAAGGTCACGTGTCAGAAAGTGTTTATGTGCATGCACGTGGAGGGATGGCCATGCAGACCACCTTCCCAGGGAAGCCAGTTGTTCTTTAGAGCATAGCATTTGCTTTAGCAAAACAGTGCCTGGGAGCAGGAATCAGAAGGTGCCTTTCCAGGAAATCCCACAGGTCTCTGTTTACTCCTCAATCTGCTGGGCAGGCGGGGCTTGACTGGTTTCCTGCCTTGTGAGCTCAGAGACACCCCCACCACCCAGTTCTCTACCTGACTGACCTTCTTCTCAGAAAGGGAGTCCTTCTTACTTCCCCGATGGGACAGGAACTGCAGAGTCCAGAACTGGTAGGAGCTGAGGACCCATCTAACCTCATTGTACATATGAGGAAACTGAGGCCCAGGAGTGAGGTAAGATTTCACATGAAGTCACCCAGGGGATTAATGTCACCCAGGCCTCCTAGCTTGTGTCTTGTCCCTGCATGCTTATGCCAGAGAACTAGGTCTACTCCTCAATCTTCACCCCTCCATCTGCCTGGAGGTCTGTGCTGCTGGGACCTCCTCTGCTGGCTCTCCTCTAACTATATCCCTGCACCCTGACCCCTTCCCAGGGCCTTGCTTTGCAGCAGGCACGGATGAAGAGCCAAGGTTCCTGAGGACAACTCCCGTCTTGTTCTTTACACTGGGAATATTTAGGAGCTCTGAGCAACTTACACCCTGAGGAAATGATACAAGGGGCAGCCAGGTGGCAAGGGATTCAGCTCGAGATAAGACAGGGGCCCCTCT